TAAACTCTCTCCATCTCCCCTCTCACCCCTTTCCCCTCATCTCACCTCTATCTCCTCTCCCTCTCTCCTCCTCTCTCCTCCTCTCCTCTCTCTCTCTCTCTCTGTTCCAGTCCAGGTTGAGTCTTGACCTTGGAATAGAAGATCCGTGTTTATGACGTGCAGAGATGTTCTGCCCGGGTTTGAGGGGAGAAGAAAAGAATAACTTAAAAATAATAATAAAAAAACAAACAAACTTCTTAATCTCATAGTATTTCTGAGTAGGTCCCAAAATAATGGGCTAATAAAGGGCTTTTGAAATGAGGAAAGTTGCATTATACATCAAGACTCTTGTAATTTGGTTTCCCTTTTAAAAGGGAAAAAAGATGTTGATATTTGAATATTGATAAACACAGAAATAAATAAAAATGAAAAAAACTGAAGATACAAACTCAGAAAACAGTGAAAATAATGATTCAGCTTTATTCCTCACCTCTCTTAAAGTGGTCAATTTAAAGTGCAGCATCTCATCCACATTATCCATAGAAATTGTTCGTTGCAAATAATTACACCGGTCCACAAAACAGCTCTACAGGCCAGTTTCATTGTTATTAAAAGCCTGCGTTGCTGCTGGGAAATATTTTGGTCGGAGGCAAGAAACAGGATAGTGGTTAAACACAGTGTGTAACCTCATGTATTTATCCCTGATAATGGTAAATTCCTGCTGCATTATCAGATGCACAAATGGAAACACGGAAGAAGGAAAACGTCTTTTTCATATTCTGAGTGAAAAGAACCACTAACGGTGAATTAAATGACTTTCAAACATCCGCAGAGCAAACGTAGAAGATCCTAACAAACCGTGGACTCCAACAAGTTCAGACCGCATATGTTGGGCTCATTTCGTCACAATTTTGTGCATTTTTGTTAAATAAATTATTTTTATGTGTTAATAATCAATACATTTTAAGGCGAAATGTGTCGTCTTTTTGACAGGAGAGCCACATTGTGATCTGAATCATATGGACTACAAACCACAACTGAATTTGGGACACAAATACCAGAACAACAAGGTCACGCTCAAACGATTGCTGAATCTCTTCAAAAGACAAAACAAAAGATTCCGTAGCGACGTAGCAACAGTTTCTGATAAATCCCAGGATGAAATTACCACATGTACTTCACATCCGATCCTAACTTAGAATCCACAGTTTCTCACCAAAACTCAGAGCCACAAACCAGCTTGAACGAACCTGCTGAAAAAAGTGTTCAGACTGATGGAAACAGAATACAAAAAAGACATTTTCCTTCTTCCGTGCTTCTATTTGTGCATCCGATAATGCAGCAGGAATTTACCATTATCAGGGATAAATACGCGAGGTTACGCACTGTGTTTGACCGCTATCCTGTTTCTTGCTGCCGACTAAAATATTTCCCAGCATGCAACGTGGGCTTTTAATAACAATGACGTCAGCTGAAACTCGCCTATAAATCCAGTTTAAAAGTAAAAAGGTGGGAGTAGTTCCTCACGTGTGTCTGTTTACATCCACACAGCGCTCGGATCGAGCTGAAGTTACAGATTGTCCACTTTAATTAGACTTTATCTCCAATCTTTGATGCTTTAAAAATCATATATCTGAAGCTCCACATTTCCCAAATAATAATAAAACACATTTCACAAATAATAATAAAACTGTTTTGACTTGTATCTAAACTAGAAGTGCAAAGTCTGATCTTTGAACACTTCAGAGTCTCAGAGCGATTGGTTTTACTGGAGGAAACAGCTGATGCGATCTCACTCACAGATTTATATCCTGTGTCCCTCAGACTGATTCCACTGCAGTCTGTCAGACTGGAGATTTCAAATCTCATCAGATTCTTCTCATGTTTGTGGTGTGAGCTTTTTGTCCCACATTTAAAAATCGTTTAAGACAGAAAAATCCTGGAGTGTGTGTCGGCCTTTATTGTGAGCAGGTTCACCTCTCCACAGATCTGACATGTTACTGGTGTTTAATGCTGTGCTGTTTAACACTGAAGGCACAGCAGCAGCATCTCCATGGAGACGAGCAGCTGTGACCTTGCGCCTGAAAAGTTACATAGCACACCTTTCATTTTTGTGTCTAACTAAGTGTCATTTTTTGCTTTGTATAATCATTTTTCAGTCTGTACGTTGGCATAAAAATATTGCTGTCCTCAGGGTCATTTTTGTCTCTCACCTCAACTTCCAAGCCAATCCTGTTTTCTTCACATCTGCACAATCAGCAAACTCTCCTCTCCTGCCCTGATCTTGAAAAACTCATCCACTCATCTTCTCGTCTAGACTATTGCAGCTCCCACCTCATCTCCTCACTGGTTTAACATCGACACATGACCATGTTTGACTTCTCTTCCCTGGCTCCTGTGGGTTTTAGAATCAATTTGAACATTTTAACTGATCACTTTTAACGCTTTTAAGTTTTGCACAAAGTTACTAAAGATGTAACTACATCCAAATTTCTCTGTACGATATTTTCAAGATATGCAGCTCACGGTACGATATTTATTGAGATATTTTGTAGAGGCTGACACTTTTTCCTTTAAAAATATCTTGACAAGTCTTTGGTTCTGTCATACACTAAAGATTTAAGATTTAAAAGTGCTTAATAAGAGATTTCATCGTGTAAACTGGACTGAAACAGAGCAAAGCATCATGGTCTATGTAGTTCCCTCTGTTTCTTTTAGCTCATTTTGCCCCATAACAACTCATTTATTTTTATTTCATTTCATTTATTTATTTGTTTGAGCCAGGTACAACAAAATTGAAAAACAATAACAAATATAGTGATATGTTCATGAACAGATTTGGAACCTGGTGCTCAAAAGGAGGAGGATGAAGTTAAAAAAAAAAAAAAAAGAAAAACTTATGGAGTTCTACCCCAATTGTTTTCATATAATCACAATCATATTTATTTTTTTATATCACCTTTGGAGTGCATTTGCAAAAATATACCCACATATATACAAAAACATATCCACACATACATACATACATATCCATGCACACGCACATGTACACACATATATATATATATATATATATATACATAGAGATCCAGTACATATACTCATGGGTCTGGTCAAGTGGTAACGGAGGGAAACAGGGGCAGATTTTTGACATTCAAATGTCTCTTATTCAGAAACTAGAGGAACTATTGAAATAAGTAAAGTATCAGAATGTAGGAAAGAGTTACACTCCAACAGGGTCAAGTTAAACCTGTGATATTCTTTCAAGTTGTTGACAAAAAATTTAAAAACTCATGTCGGTAACGGAGGAAATGAAATATGCAGCACTTTTTGGTCAATAAATCCAAACAGTGATAACTCTTGGTTCTCACTTCCATATCCTTAACAAACTGGTTTGAATATTTGCTTCATATAGTTTTCTACCATATGGTACAAGATTAGGTTGAAAAACCTCTTACTTTTTGACTCATGAGATTTTTTATTAAGAAAGGTCATGGTAACGGAGGGAAAAGTAACGGAGGGAAAATTGTGCAAACAAGTAGAAGGTGCAGGATTTTACATCATTTGTCAACTTTTTCTTCCAAATACTTTAATATTACTTCAAAATGAAAGGAAACTATTTCTATAAAATATGTCAGTCCTTCCAAGCAAATTTTTATCATTTTAAATACTTTTTTTTTTTTTTAAATCCTGTCCCTTCATCAACAGTTCAAAGATGGAATAACACAAGATATGATGAAATACATCCATTTATTTACATGATTTGCAGGTCTTTGAAATTTGGGAAATAATTTTTGTTCCATGTTTCATACATGGTCTGTTTAAAACATATGGAACTTTAGAACCAAAAATGGTACAGAAAAAAGGTCAACAGTTTCATAAACTAGAGTACATATGTATCTGTTCAATACAGTTTTATATCAGATGAATTCACTTGAATTTTTGGCCTTGCTGCTGCTTGACCGGGCCCATATATATAAATGTTCATACACATATGCATAACACACATATACACACATGCAGAAACATATTTTCGTTTATGGTCATACAAACTATAATGTTATCTTAGGCACAAAGTTTATCATTTATGATCGTACAAAATAAATAGTAATGAGAATGAAAAATTTAGGGATTTTTTGTTTTTGTTTATGATGTTTTTTGTTTATCCTGACAAGTTACATTTTAGAACTTTTAAGCCTATATGAGCCTCCCGCAGCCGCAGATCCTCAGGCAGGTTCCCAAGTCCAGGCTCCGGACGAAGGTGATGGAGTCTTTTCAGTTCGCACCATCAGGAGCATCTTTTAAATCACCTCTTAAGACAAATTTTTATCAGTTGGCCTTAATTTCACAGTTTTTACTTGATTTTATGTCTGATTTATTTTGATTCAGTTTTATTAATAGATTTATTGAATTGTTTGTATCATTGTCTGCTTTTGTGCTTTCTGAATGCCATTTTTATTGTCATTTAAAAGTGCTTTATAAATAAAAAAAAAAAAAAAAAAAAAAAGTAATACCTTGAATGCTTTTTACTTTCTTTTTTAAACAAATGACATAGAACCCGAAATGCCCATCACAGCTCGTCAGCTCCTCGCGTAATCCTTTATTTTGTCTGATCATCTTTGTGTAACTCTCCTCATTTGTGACTCGTAAATCTCCAGTATGTGTATCTTTTATTTTGTCTGATAATCTCTGTGCATCTCGTCGTTTGTATCTCCTGATCTGCAGTATCTGTATTTATAGCACATACAATAATCTCCATTTAAGCTCGTGGAAAACACAATAGCGCGGTACAAACGTGGAGCGGGTGTGAGTGTGTGTGTGTTCAAACGCACATGATCTGGTGTGTAATGTGTGCGGGAGGAGGTGGCATTTGCATATTGGCAGCGCAGTGGCGGGCTGCCGTCTCGTGCCCCCTCCCCTCTCATTAATATGTATGTGCGTGGAGCTGGCGAACGCGCAGCTCGCCAACGCCGCGCTCTGGTTCTCGCTGATTAATGCTGTCTGTCAATTTACCTCCGCAGATCCCTCTCTTCTGTGGAGCTTCCCCCAGGACGTCCAAGACCAGGTCTGTGCCAGCAGCCAGTCTTCCACTTCTCTACTCCTCTGCTCTTCTGCTGCTCTCGTCCTCTGCTCCTTCTCTCCTCCGCTTCTCTCCTCCTCTCTGCTTCTGCTCCTCTCCTCTGCTCCTCCTTTCTTCTTCGGCTCCTCTCCTCCTCTGCTTCTCTCCTCTTCTGCTCCTCCTTTCCTCCTCTGCCTCTCTCTTTCTTTACTTCTCTAATTGTCTGCTCCTCCTTTCCTCTTCTGCTCCTCTCCTCGTTCTCTCCTCTTCTGCTCCTCCTTTCCTTTAGTCCTCTGCTTCTCTCTTTCTTTATTTCTCTCCTCTTCTGCTCCTTCTTTCCTCTTCTACTCCTCTCCTCCTCCGCCATCTCTCCTCTGCTCCTTCTTTCCTCTTCTACTCCTCTCTTCCTCCGCCTCCTCTCCTTTGCTTCTTCTCTCCTCTTCTGCTCCTTCTTTCCTCTTCTCCACTGCTACTTCTCTCCTCTTCTCCTCTTCTCTCCTTCGTTGCTCTTCTCTTCTGCTCATTCTCTCCCCCTCTTCTCCTCTCCTCTGCTTCTCTGCCCCCCCTCGTCTGCTCCTTGTTTCATCCTCTGTTCCTCTCCTCCTCTGCTCTTCTGCTCGACTCCTCTCTTCCTCTCCTCCTGTTCTTTACCCCTCTCCTTCTCTTCTTCCCTCCTGTGCGCCTCTTTTTTCTTCTCCCTCTCCTCCTCTGTTCCTCTCTCCCTCTCCTCTGCTGCTCTTCTCTCCATTCACACTTGCACAAAGTTGTCAAAAGTATCAAGAATCAGATCCTAATCGAGACTAAAAGTATCAAAACTAGATCCTCATTTTTCACAGGTATCGATACTACAAAAGTCCCACTGACAAGACAGAAATGAAGCTTTCCTGAAAAACACTTTTTTAATGAAACATAAGAACAATACAAAAGAAAAAAATAAATAAATAAAATACACACACAAAAATACACTTCATGAATAAATTAAACATTTTTGACCTTTAAATATCATCATTTCATATCTTGGGCAAGTTGCGATTTGATATAATCACAAAAAAATAAAAACAAATGTATCAATACCTGTGTTTCCTTTAAAGGTGCTTTGTGTAACTTTACTGGTTGAGGGTCACCTGTTTGTTTCTATGGATACATCATTGCTCTGCCTGAAATGTTCCACAGTGTGACATTAAACAGCTCTACTTTACATTTATTCAATTACAGATGGTTTTATAACTTAGAAATACCTCGAAAAACAGACGTTCTGACTGTGAGCAGAGTCGCCTCTCCACAGACTAGACCTGCAGTTTGGTCCAGTTTGGTCTCCATGAAGATACAAAGGTTTAAAGTCATACTGTGGAACATTCCAGACAAAGCAATAACAATATCTCCATGGAGAAAAGCATTTGACGGAGCCTCGGGTAGAAAAGTGTGTCCTGTAAATGTTCATCTTAACCCTCTACATGACTCTACTGTTTTTTATTTTGAGATTTAGTCTGTAAATCAAGATGGCAACAGGTTTGATTGACCGATTCTGCAGTTTCGACTCGTACAAAGAGATTCTTGGATTCTTTTCAAAGTGTTTTTTTTTTCCCCCGATGTGAATTTCTCTGAGCTCAGTGTTACAAATCAGATCAAAATCGTTTTAATTGTCAGATAAATTACAATTACATCTTTTCTTCTTACTGTCTTCCCACACCAAACCATCAGACACATTACCCATCATGCTTCACTTCCTCTTGCTTACCCCCCCCCCCCCCCCCCCCCTTCTCCTCTCCTCCTCCTCCCCCTCTCCTCCTCATAGTACGTCTGTTGCTGTAATGAAAAGCAGTGAGCAGGTCTTCAATAACTGACGAATGGGTAATTATCATGGCAGCGTGACAGGAATGCACACCTCTTCTCCTCCACCTCTCTCTCTCTCTCTCTCTCTCTCTCTCTCTGCCTTTGTCTCTCTCTCCATTTCTCTTTGTATTTCTCTGTGTCTCCATTTCCTCTTTTCCTCTCCCTCTGCATCCGTCTCTCTCTCCTTCCCTCTCTTTCTTTCTCTCCTTTTCTCTCTTTTCATCTCCTCCTCTCCTTCTCTTCATTTCTCTCTCTCTCTGTATCTCTCTGTGTCTCCATTTCATCTCCCCCTCTCTTCCTCTTTCTGTCTCTCTTTCTCTCCATTCTCACCATCCCTCCTCCCTCCCCCCTCTCTCTCTTTCCTTCACTCTGTCTCTACCCCTCTCTCTCTCTTCCCCTCTCTCTGCACCCTCCCTCTCTTTCTCCCTTTGTCTCTCCCTCCCTCTCTTTCTTTCTTTCCTTGCCTTTCTCTTCATTTCTCTCTCTCTCTCTCTGTATCTCTCCTCCCTCTCTCCTCTCCTTCTCTCTCTCCCTCTCCCCATCTCTCTCTCTCCATCTCTCCTTCTCTCTCTGTCTCTCTCCATCTCCCTCTCTCTTTCTCCCTCTCTCTCTTTCTCTCTCTCTCCATCTCTCTCTGTCATTTCCTCTCTCTCTCTCTCACTCTTCCCCTCTCTCTCTCTCCCTCTCTCCCTCCCTCTCTGTCTCTCTCTCTATCTCTTTCACTCTCTCTCACTCTTCCCCTCTCCCTCTCTCCCTCCCTCTCTGTCTCTCTCTCTATCTCTTTCGCTCTCTCTCTCTCTTCCTTTGTCTCTCTCTACATTTCTCTTTGTATTTCTCTGTTTCCTCTTTTCCTCTCCCTCTTCTCTCTCTCCTTCTCTCTTCATCTCCTCCTCTCCTTCTCTTCATTTCTCTCTCTCTCTGTATCTCTCTGTGTCTCCATTTCCTCTCCCCCTATTTCTGTCTCCCTTTCTCTCCATTCTCACCATCCCTCCTCCCTCCCCCCTCTCTCTCCCTTCCCTTCACCTGTCTCTCTCTCTGCACCCTCCCTCTCTTTCTCTTTATCCCTTTGTCTCTCCCTCCCTCTCTTTCTTTCTCTCCTCCCTCTCTCCTCTCCTTCTCTCTTTTCCTCTGTCTCTCTCTCCATCTCTCTCTGTAGCTCTCCCCCTCTCCCTTTCTGCCTCCCTCACTCCATCTCTCTCCATCTCTCTCTCTCTCTTTCTCCCCCTCTCTCCATCTCCATCTCCCTCTTTCTCTCTCTCTCTCCATCTCTCATCTCTCTCTCTCTCTCTCTCTCTCTCTCTCTCTCCATCTCTCCATCTCTCTCTGTGTCTCCATTTCCTCTCTCTCTCACTCTTCCTCTCTCTCTCTCTCCATCTCTCTCTCTCTCTCTTGTTGTTCTGGTGCTTTGTTTTGTTTTTTATTTCTCTCAGGAGGAGGAGGAGCTGCTTGTTTTTTTGCGTTTCATAAAATTGTCTCAGAGAACTGGAGCTGGGTTTAAATATACCTGAGCTCACATTTAGAGATCGTCTGATGTTTGTTTCCTTTTGACTTGATACTGATACCGATATTTGCCGATACCGATATCAAGCTTTAAACTCTACAGTACAGTAAAGGTGCGCTGTGTCACTTTTCTGGTGGAGGTCTGCTGCTGCTGGTTTCCATGGAGATTGTCACAGTGAAGCAAAGAGCATGTCTATGTCCATGGATACAAGCAGGTGGAGGGTTTACAGGTCAGATCTGTGGAGAAGTGAGCCCACACAGTAAAAAAAAAAAAAAAAAAGCAGTTTCTGTTGGAGCAGTAAAACAGCGTTAAGTGAATAAATGTCAGTTTGATAGGTTTAATGCCATACTGCGGAACATTACAGAAAAATGCAATACAATGTTCACGGAAACAAGCAAGTGCACAGCAAAAACTGGAGGGTTAAAATGTCAGGGTAAATTTGTTTTTTAACACAAAAAAGTGTCATTTTATTATTTTATGTTTATTTATGTTATTTTTTATTATTCTTTTATTTGCTATTTTACTATTTGAAAGTTAAATGTGTGTTGGAGTTGGGGTTATTTGCCAGAGTTGATATGGTTGAGATGAATTTAACTCCCCCTAGTGTTAATTCAACTTACACTAGTGTTAATTTGGCTCCTCTCACCCTCCTGTGAGAAAAGACCAGTTTGAACCAGTTTTGTTCATAATTTCATCTTGAAAACTCAAATAAAGTGTAAAAATAAAACACCTCTGTGTGTTGTTTAGTTAATTCAGGATAACTCTACAAAGTGTTATCTGTTTACTCTCAAAACGTTCATATAACACTTGAGTTTGGGGTTAAATAGGAACTTTTTGGCCAGTGTTACTTATTGAACATTTCCAAAAATGTTAAATTAACCCTAAGACCCTGAGAAAGTGTTAAAATTGATTCTGTGAGAGTCAATTTTAACACTCCACTTTTTGCTGTGTAGTAAATTTGAGCATCAGAAATGTTACGTATTGCACTTCAACTTATTTCTTGTAAAAAAAAACAAAAAAACAACAACAATAATAACAGACCTACCCTTCCTAGTTGTAATGGGTAATGCAATGAGAGATTTTTTAAAACATTTTTTTAAGCAATAGATTAAATACAATGTGATGTCATGTAATGCAGTTATGGTCGTCTGTAAACCAGGACGTAATGCTGGTGTGCCATTAGCATGCTAGTTGTTATTAACATTGTCATGACTGAAAAACTCTGCTCTGGTCTCTTAAAGTTGTAAAAAACGCATTGTCGTGAATACTTTCTTGAATATTCTATGAATGCAGTAGGCAAGGAGTCTGGAATGTTTCACAGTATGGCATTAAAATGTTTATCTTCATGGAGCCTAAAATCATCCTAATTACAAGTCAGATCTGTGGAGAGGCGACCCCGCTCACAGTCAGAATGTTTGTTTTTCTAGGTGTTTTTGAGCTATAAAAGCACCTGTAATTGAATAAATGTAAAGTAGAGCTGTTTAATGTCACACTGTGGAACATTCCAGGCAGAGCAATGACATCTCCATAGAAACACAATTTGAAGGATCCTCCACCAGAAAAGTTACACAATGCACCTTTAAGCCATAGCAAAAGTTTATCTGCTCCATGTTGAGACTGTTTCAAATATCCATTAGTATAATTTGCATAACGTCTCCAGGGGTTTGATTTA